GGAAGAGTCCCTTTTGCAGCCCTGGCCCAGGGCTGCATGGCACACTGCGTACAGAGGGATGCCAAGGTCTGGTGGCAGAGGCTGGAGTCAAACTGGTCCCCACTGATGTCTGGGCCTCAGAAGTCCCTGAGGGTCTTCAGACAGTGTGGGGTCCTTGGAGCTTTTAATCCATGCAGTGGTAACCTCTGGAGCAAAGTGTTTCTACAGCCGCCTCGTGAGCTGGGGCGAGAAACTGTGCGTGTGGGCAGATCTGTAAAGAGCAGCTGATAAGAGCTGGGAGAGCAGAGGCTCTTCCCCACTGCTGGAGGCTCCCACGCCGCTTCTCGGAGCAGATGCGTAGGTCGGGCAGTGGCCGTTTTGGCTGTGCGGAGGGGGACCATGCCATCCTCAGCGCGGTTGGCTGCGTAGCTCAGGCAGATGGTGGTGTGCCCCGGCTGGGGCTGAGCCGGAGGCATGACCGTGCCGGCAGCTGGGGCTGGGGAAGGCTGCAGACCATCAAGCCGACCGGTTGGGGCTGAGGATGGCAGCAGGGCGGAGGTGGTTATGGATTCGCTCCATGTGCCTCAACTGCCAGCGTGTCAGTGGGGCAGGGACAGGCAGCTGCTGCGCCGGGGACCTCATCCAGCCCTCACCCAGGCTGCTGCCCTTCGCTGTAGCTCTGCTTTTGTGCCAGTGCTGCTCCTGCCTCCGCCAAGGGCTGGGGCTGAGCCCGGAGGGTGGGCAGGGGCAGCCAGCTGGAAGCACACACATGGGCTCCCCGCTTCGCCCAGAAAGCGGTGAACTCACTCCTTGTCGCTGAGCCAAGCTTCAAAAAGTCCTTTTTCCGTTAGGCTGCTCCCAGAGCAGCCTCCTCCCCTTCCAGGCCTGGCTATTTTTACTCTGCTGGAGAAGGCAGCGCCGTTTGAAGCAGCATCGTCCTCTCCAGAGCCTGAACTCCACGCGCCGCTCTTGGCTGGCGCTTTCCCTTTCGTGCTGGCCAGCCCTTCCCTGAGCGTTCGTCTTCAGGGAAGTGACGAGTGGAAAAATCTGCTCAGGCAAACGGCTCCAGAGCACGGGGTTCACGCCACTGCCGGCACACAGGGCGCTGAGATTCCGGGGCTTTCTGTGCGGCAGCCTGGGCCTCGGGGCTGAACTCTTGCTCCCAACTGGACCCCAAAGGTTTTGCCTTGTTTCACCTGAATGCTCAATAGCGAGCGGATCTGTACCCTCTCTCTACCCAAAAGCAAAGCCTCGCTCCCTGCACCTTCACCTCTGCATGTGCTGCCTCTGCTCACCCTCCCCAGGGGGACGGGGGACATGCTCCTCATGCCCAGGGCTGGCTGCACCTCTGTCCCCCAAATGCCTCTGTACCACAGCGTGTTCAGTCTGGCTGCAAGCACCCCTTCCTCCCACTCTGCCTCTCCCACCAGATTCCTGTCATCTGGGACCACATCCTCAAGAAAAATGCAGGGAAGTGGGAGGCCATCGCCAAGCACCAGGTGAAGCGCGTCTTCAGCCCCACCGAGGAGGAGCTGAAGCTCCAGGCACGCAGGTGAGGCTCTGGCATGTGTACAGAGGATGCGCAGTGGAGCCAGTATCCCTATTAGCAGGGGCTGGAGCTCAGCACTGGGAGGACAGAGGGGTCTGTGGCACTGACTGGGGATGTCCCCTCGGTGGCAGGATGTAGCAGGGACAGCTCGCTACTTGTCAGCCATTCCCTATGAGCAGCTTCATGTCATTTCTGCCCACCACAGGTGGGCACAGACCTACAGCCTGGACATGATAGAGGCTCTGGCCCCTGACAAGCCCCGCTGCGGGGTGTGCGGCGTGGAGGCAGCCAAGAGGTGCTCTCGCTGCCGGAATGAGTGGTACTGCACACGGTAAGGGAGCCTTGCCACCCCCCAATGTCCCCTGCTCCCCAGAACATCACAGACCTCACCAGAGGATGCTGTGAAAGGGCCGAGGGAAGCCAGGGGTCCCACTGCTTCCCAGCACCGCTGGCTCTCCGCTTGCCATATACCTCTCTGAGTCTTACAGTGGGGCTGATGTACCAGGACACTGGTGGAGGAGATGCTGGCGAGTGTTGTGTCACTGCTGCCAGGTGCTGAGCTGCCTGTGCCCACACCCACAGCAGCGATGGGCTGCGTTTCCCATGGCGACAGTGCCTCCTTCCCCTGCATTTTGGTGGGGCAGGAGCAGGGAGGAAAGCACTCATGGTTCTGTGGGTGCGGGTGATGGGCTGGGATGTGGCAGCTGGGATGGTGGCAGTAAATTAAATCTTCTCTGGTCCTGAACCATCTGGTCTGGTTATAGCTGTGTCATTAAACCCTTTAGCCCCTGGAACTGGGGGCCACATCCACCTCCCTGTTGGGCTAATGCTCGGCCATGCCACATTCTCCCCAGTGCCCTGAGGAGTGTGGTGCTGGGGTTTGGCCCTGTCTCTGCTTTGCTCCTAGGGATGGACGTGGCCCTGCTGCATCCCTGCTTGAGCTGCGGGCACCCTGCTTTGCGGCAGAACCCCTGAGCCATGACCTTCCCTTCCACAGGGAGTGCCAGGTCCAGCACTGGCAGAAGCACAAGGTCGCCTGCAACCTGATGGCTGGGGAGCCGAGGAGAGTGGACAACCCATAAGAGAAGCGGTGACCGGCATCCTGCCCGCAGCTTGGTGAGGCAAAGTTTCCCCCTGCGTGCAGCCCAGCAACCGGACAGAAGCCGGCAAAGACCCCTTCTCCCTGCTCCCAGCCCTTGGCTGCGCTGGCTGGGCTCAGCCTCTCCTCTCCCACCTCCCTGCCACGCAGCCTTCTCCAATAAACCTCCTTATGCATCCTACTGCTGCTTGGCTCCTACTTTTTGCTCCTAGCTCAAGATGCTAAACCACTTCCTCCCCTCCTTTGCACCCAGGGAGAGGGGGGTGTGACCGTTTTTCCCCTCTGCAACAACAGAAATCCCAGAGAACCCAAAAAAAGAGCCAATACCCTTGTAGTTACCAGACGGGCCAAGCCCCCATGCAGCCAAGGTACATGAGCCGGGGGAGGGAAGGGGATGAAAAGGCCTCCATGCTGCCTCTTATCTTTTGGCCACCATCGTTAGAGCAACTGGAGGAGGCAGAGGATGTGGTTAGCATGAGCACCTCGCTGTGAGAGAGCAGATGAATTTCTCGGGTGTTCGTCATCTGCCATCTCGCAGGGGCGATTCCCACCACACTCCTCTTGCAGTTGATGTGACATTCGCAGCACGGGCTTGGCCTCCTGCCCACCAGCAGGGTTTACTGGTGGCCTGCTCTGCCTTGGGGCGTGTCCCCACCTCTCTCCCTGCTCCCCAGCCGCTGCCAAAGGGCTGGAGCCTTGGTCTGAGCACAGCTGGGAAAAGCTGATGGTGCATCTTCTTTTCTGATGGGGTGCCTGAGATCCCCCCACACAAACACCCCAAAAGAGGCTTTGCACCAGCGCTGCTGCTGCAGGAGCCACGACAGCGAGCAGGAAACCATCTCGGTCTGCCCACAGGAGTTGACTCTTCGCCCCGAGCCCGGGCTGCTCGGCCGGGGCTGTGGCTGAACAGAGCATGGGGGCTCTCTGGGGCAGCTTTGGCTGCTTCTCGCTCGCTGAAAGGTTCCCCCAGCCCCCTTCCCCCCTGGGAAACTGAGGCACGGAGCAAGGCTCGCCCCGCTGCTGGGAGAGCTGGCGGAGAGAGCGGGGCTGCCGGAGCGGGGCCCCCTCCTTCCCC